ATGAGAATGAAATGAAAGAAATATTGGTCCACAGTACAAGTATTTATTTATTCTGTACAAAAGTTGAGTTATAAAATATTATATCCCCATTTTAGGTCTTGTTCTTAGCCTTGTATATCATGCCGTCTTGAGTTCGTTCATATAATAACAATATCGCCGTAAGAAAACGCGTGTGCTCAGGGGAATTGTCATCGTATTATCCCTGTTTGCGATGTGCAACGCATTGAAATTCGATCATTCTTTATCGAAAAAGGATTATCATCGAATCATTCTCACTTGAGCACTTACGTTTCTTAACGTACGAAGCTCGGCTCTCACCGTGTACACATAAATCAAACTTGATTTTAAATTCGCATATTTATTTGTGGTAACAAACAGTACATGCGCGTGTACACTACTACTTGTGCATTCTTGTAATAAGTTACTTTTTTTTTCTTTATTTTTTTTTTTCAAACAAGTGCGACATATGGGCCTACCCACGTGGTTTTTTCTTCATGCCGTTCTCCGCTTTTTTTTCTTTTTTCTTTTTTCTTTTTTAAATATTTATTTCTAGACCATGAGTGTGCTTTTTTTTCAGTGCGTTTTGGAAATCATCAAGCGATATCGTTCCCTGTATTACGCACAATCAATAATTTTTTCGCTTCTCTCCGCTGAATCTACTTTCAGAATAAATCGACCGAACGTCATCTCAATCGAAATCCGCATCAAGTACATCATTTCAAGGCGCAGCCTCGTTATTTTAAACTATTTTTTTCAAGTCTTTTGTCCCGCAGTTTCATAGGATATAAATTCGTTTGATTTGACTAGGCATCGTTCTTAAAATCCTCCTTCTTCCCCCCCCTCCCTCCCTTCCCACCCCACCCTATACTCCAATCTATCTATCTTCTTTTCACAAATGAATCTTTTTATCCCCTTTTTCGATAACCCGCAAATTCTCATCGAAGTAATAGGACTCTTATTAATCTAGGAACTAACGATAAATTATCTTAACATTTCGTTTTTTATTCACGAAATCCCTTATCTTATCGATGCTTTTCATTAATCTCGTCGTAAAATTCGGATGCAAAGGAAGTTTTTGCTGGTTTCTAAGAACGAAACAATCGTAATTATGTATAGCGGAGAGAATGATTATTTTTTTTTTTTTATCATGCACACATTAGATGCTCTTTGCATTTTTATCGACACAAACAAGTGTTTTTCGGCTAAATATACATCCAAATATATTACACGTTTTGGGTGACCTTGTGCAAGTTATAACTGTCGCTATACAACGTTTTGCGGTATTCCATGACGTGAGCTTTTTTTGTACCGTGCTAGACTCGAAAACATTGACATTCATGCTATCATAAGTCATATTTATCTTTACGACAAAACGGTGAAATATCATCGATCACACGTACAATGAAGCGTTACACGAAATAATTGACGTAAAGTACCTCTGGCAAATACACTATCCGCTTTATTCGAATCTCGATTCTTATTTTAACGTAGGCCCAATTCGAAGAAACTTTTGCGAAACTTCGTGAGTTATTAGAAATTTCGATAAATCTGATCTTCGAACTATGCGATATTTAATCTGGGAAAAAAAAATTGTATGAATTTCATTCTTGAGCGTGCCCTAAATCAACGAAATCACATCACAACCATTTTTATTTTACACATGAATCGCTATCCTGTTAAAAATATGCATGAGAATGAGAATAATTTTTTTTAAACAGACAAAAGTTGATAATGTTACTCAAACAAATTCGTTGTATTAAATATTTTAATTACGAGGTTATCGATATTTTAGGCCAAACTATAATCACCAATGTCCGAAGATCATTCCAATCGAATCGATTGGAAAAGTAATGAATTTACAAAAAAATGAACTTCAGTAGAGCCGACGACGTGCATCGTTCGAATGTTCATCGAACAATTTAAACAATTTTTGCTCGCGATAATAATTCGAATATTTTTTTTTTTACCTTCTGCAAGTAGTCAAGTGTTTTTCCGTATACACATGATGTCTTTTATTATTTTTATGGAATGTTATGTGGAAAGCTAGATGAGACGATGGATGTATTTAATAAAGCTTTCAAACTATCACGAAAAAATTCAATAATGCGACGGAATCTGAATTCATTTTAATTTTTTTCTCTTCTCTTTTATTCATGATCTTTTCATCTCTCTCTCTCTCTCTCTCTCTCTCTCTCTCTCTCTCTCTCTCTCTCTCTCTCTATATCTCTCTCTCTCTCTCTCTCTCACTCTATCTATTTATCTCTGCCTATCATTTTAAAACTTTCACGTTTTCTCTTTTCAAGTTAATTTCTATAAAATAGGAATTAAAACGTAATATATGTCTACGGCGAGTACACGAGCAAGTTTGTTTTTAAATGAAATTCAAATAAATTTTCGACCAAGGCATATTCGATCGGTTGAATGAAAAAAATGAAACCCTTGTGAGATATTTTCTTCCATATTAACGTAAATTCTGCAAATTTCCACGGTACTTGAAGGAGAATGCTTTTTTCGTTAACTATAGGGGTAAAAAAAAAGAATACAAATAAAATAGAATATATAAATTATTCGAGCAAGATGCCATGGTTTACCCGGGATTGAAAAATATATGGTTCAAGTGGAACGATCTTATGTATCTCGTACATCGAGTATTCTTTTGTACTACAGAGACGATTCGCGCAAGGTACTTTCAAACAAAACCTACACCGAGGCGAGCATGCCATTGCATCGGTGTGTATGTATTTATGTGTGTAGATGAGCAAAATGAGACCCGGTCTCCATTTCTCACTTTCGTCAGTTGTCTTTTTCACGCGTTTTACTTTCTTTTTTAAAACTTTTTTCATCGATATATCCTCGGTGATATCGACATACATATATAATATACCTACATAACTTATGGTGAGACCAACTTTACAACGTTACAACGCGCATCGTTATCTTCCATTTTACGTGTACCTACTCTTGGTAGTACGCACCGTAAGCGCCAATCGCACATCACTCGCATCCTTTCATTGTGTCTTCTTTCATTCCATCTCTTTCTACCTCTCTATCTCTCTCTCTCTCTCCCTCTCTCGCATTCTTCTTCTTTTACACTCTACCTTTCTTTCTCACTCACACGTGCGCGCATGGAATTTCGCTTTTTTACCGCGTGAACGCGACGATTTTTCTTCACTTTGAGTTGTTGTTGTTGTTGTCGTGTGTATATACGTGTGTGTTCTCGTTTGCTTCTCTTGTGCTTTATAAATGTGTGAATTAGTGTGTGTGTTCGTGTATAAACGTATCTCAATGTATACGCGTAAGTATGCGTGTATCCTTTATGAAGATCGTTTTATGATTTTATTACGTACGGTTACCTGTAATTTTTTTGTTGATTATGTCTTTTTTTCCGGTTTTTTTTTTTTTTGGTTTGCTTTGTTTAAACACTATTTCGCTACAGTGGACTACCATTATGAACGCTACGCTACTTTGTATTGTATTGTATGCTTTGTTTAATGAACGACGTACTGTACTGAATGTGCACACGCAATCTAACAGACCCGAATTAGCGACAAACGTACACGGCATTTGATCATCTCACGATATATTCTGTGCTTATTATTTTACCTTAGATAAATCATTCGAAAAAATCGATGGTCGAGTGGTCGAGATTTTTCTTTCGTTTATCTAAACGTCCATCCAGACATTCCATGGTGTAATTTTGATCCTTCTGACGAGAATCTAATTTGTCCGTTTAAAGATGCCGTGTACGATTAGCGCATTTACGGTGAGCGTATGTGTCAATGTATGTACCGAATATAAAATAATATATGCGCCGTGAGAGAATCACGATCTGTCTAACTGTGGCTCCGGTATTTAAAACTAACTTTCTCGTTTAATTAGTACTTGTGTTTTCTCCTTCTATGAGTAATAATCATAGTTAATTATAACCACTTTGTGTGTTTTCATGTTAAAAATCTTAGACATCAACGTACATTCACTTTTATAATAAATCGTTATTAGAAACCTATCTCGTACTTGCTATGCATTTAATATAAATTTCATCGTGTTAATCGTTTATCGATCGTCTTATTTACAAAGATCTCTTTCTCTCTCTCTCTCTCTCTCTCTCTCGCTCTCTCTCTCTCTCACTTTCGTTCTATTTCTCTCGTTTTCTGTCTCTCTTTTTTTTTCCTTTTTCTATTTTAAATGGAAATTATTCTGTCTCTCTCTCTCTCCCTCTTTCTTTCTTTCTTTCCTTCTTTCTCCCTGCTTTCTCTTCTTTCGACCTTTACAGTTTAATCAAACCGCTGGCAGTGTATAAGACGCAGGCAATAAATGGTTAACCCCGGTCTTATTAAATGAGAAGGATGAATCCTTCGTATAAGTTTTATATATTTTATATAGGTGAGAATATAACGCGTGTGTCCTTCGGTCGCGATTCGAAGGATTCCAACGTTTTGTCAACACTGGTTCTTGCACGCGCGTACAAGCGAGGATTAAAGGACGACGTAAAAAGGGATCTCGAAGAAAATATATAACATATATGCGTCGATTGGTGAAAGAAGATTGAACAAAAAAAAAAGAAAAAAGAAAATTTAAAAGTAAAAATACAATGAAAAGGTAGAATGAAACAAAAACGATTGGACACGAAGGTAGGACGCGTTCCACTTAATCTTTCGCGGACGATTTTTTATCGGGGACAGTAACGTTGACCAAGATGACCAGACAGATAGTTTCGCGCTGAAATAGACAGGTATTGTATAGTAAGTGCATACATTAGGATGTATACATATACTTATATTATACGTATAGATAGAAATTTGTTAGCTAATATTTATCACTTCGAATATTTGACGTGTCTTCCAAATGTATGAATATCTTCGTACAGTGGAACACTGTCACATCGCGAACGGAACTATGGGAAAAGTAGTGAAAAAGAAAATTGGATGGGATTCGATCTGCGTGATAATGGATGTGAAAAATAAAATATAAGGAAAGAAAAGAGAAAAAATAAAATAAACTGCAGTGAGTGACCTTGTCTATTTTCTATCGATAGCTCGTTTCTATATTATTGTTATACTGTATTCACCTATCATCAGTATGAATGAATACCATTCACGTGGATCTATGTACGTTTGTTGTATCGCTTTATTGGCGCTGAAGTGTGAGTATGTTATCAATTGTGGATACGATGAATTCGTTTACGAAACTAGCAAAGAGGGACGCTTTTTCAATGATGCTTCTTTCACGATTTCAAGTTTACACAATGAATAAAAGTAAGGAAAATGATAAATCAATTATAATACCGATCGTGAAAATGCAATAGTAGAGTTTTGTACGTTTTTGAACGACACGGGACCGTTAACCAAACGTATGTATAATAAGAACGTTTCGTATTTACATACATCTGCGTGAAATTCTTCTATTTCGGACGTAAGTTGATTACCTACAGGATTCTGACGTTTACGATCGATCTACTTTGAGAGAAAGCTTCGGATAATTTACAATGTGTGAGTGATTGTCTTTGAGGTTCTTGGTTGCGGTCTTTGATTTACTGTTAGTCGTTGCAAAAACGTACCACTTATTTCCACTTGAAATGAAAAACATCCGTGATTTTCAAATTAAAATAGAAAATAAACGGAGTTACGTGTGATAAACTAAAAACACATTTAACGAATTTTTATACAATCGATAATATAAGAAAGAAAATAAAAAAAAAAAAAGAAACGTTTCCTCTTGCTATACGTAAAACGTCATCATTGTAATATTCATTGTGATATGCTATTGCGATTAATAACGTATGAGGAAAAAGTATACAAACGGTAAACAGACACGCGATCAGACAGACAGACAGACAAACAGACATGGATTGTAGGCATGTAATACTTAGGCTTAACAATACTGTAGTGGATAACATTAAACACGCGTTTTAGTATTTTTCTTATTTCGCTTTCGGCCGATCTTATATTCATTTCTGTTTTCGTTCATGTCAAGGTCGGTGCAGGAAGGACGACGATTCGTTTGACGAAAGACGAAAACGATTGGTCGATCGAGCAGCCTATGCATTTTAAGGATCCTCTATCATTTTTTTTATCTACGATTCGGAATAAAAAGGGTATCTTGTTCTCTCTCTCTCTCTTTGTCTCTTTCTCTCTCTCTCTTTCGTTCATTTTCGTATCTTTCACAAATTTCCCTCTTTTTTCCAATGTCAGTAGCATCATCTTATCATCATTATCATACGATATTTTTTCGCATACACATATTTACAATAATAATTCATTAGATCTAATTATCTTTCAATGGCCAATGGCGTAACGGAACAATCGTTCGCACTTATTATTCTCTTGCATACTCGAATATTTTCGCGAATTTCTCTTCGCGAAAATATACGCTTAATCAAGTGTGTTTAATAATGTGTGTTTTACTTATGTCTGTGTGTCGCGTGTCGTGTATATGACGAATGTATATACGTGTAACAACGTGGCATGATACGATTGAACGACGGACAATAAATAAAATTAGAAAAATAACAAATAGAAATAGATCATAAGTATGATGCAAGATACAAAGAAAACAAAAAAATATTAAAGAAGATGATCGCACGGCCAATCGTTTTTCATTCGCACCAATCAGAGTTAAATGCATTAATATTTATAAACCCGATATAATAATGGATAGTGGAAAAAATCAACAAATGCGATAAGAGTTTTTAGCCGTATTTAGAGAATAAGAGGCCTCGAGTCTTTTTCTTTTTCTTTTTCTTCTTCTTCTTCTTCTTCATCGTTGTTCTCCTTTCTCATAAGCCTTCTTTTTCTGTCTTTTTTTCTCTGTTTCCCTTTGTCTCCCACCACGTCGATACGCAATTTATTCGCTATTAAATTTGATATTTTACTAGTAAATATAGAATATCGATTGAATATTCGTAGTGTAATATAATAGCGGATAATAAATATAATACAGATCTATAGATAGAGTTCGGTATGGTACAGGTATTATACAAATTTTCACATTCTCGCTATCATCACGCATTCATAGAGAATATTTTTATCGGCTCTTGAATACGCAAACATACTCTCTCTCTCTCTCTCTCTCACTCTCTCTCTCTCTTTCTTTCTCTCTCTCTTTCTTTCTTGCATCCACGGATAATATATACTTTTTTGCAACGATCGAGACGAGAAGAGATAGTTGATAATCGTCGATTCGTCAAATTAAAATCGGCGCGTAGGATCAAGATAAACTCGTTAGAAACGTTGTCCCTTGAATTTGCGAAATAGTCAATATCAACGATAGATTTTTATCTCACGTTTTAATCGTATTTATTTCGCAAATGTATGCTTTATGTTCTCGTTAATGGTTACGCCGTTATCTTTATCTCTTTCTCGCTCACTCGTGCGTCATATATAAGATTCGTCTAGTATACGGCACTCTCCTAAATCTCCTTGCAGCTCGAATATAAGCTTACAAGGATTCACTTGTACATATTCATTAGGAATTTATTTACAGGCGTGCTAATTATCCTGGTTAGACGAATGCACGATTACGCGCTTTTAAGAAAATTCAAACGGTAAGATGAACTAGAACGATTTATCAATTAAAACGAACATTAGTTTATCGACGATGATTAGATAATATCATTGTTTCCGTCAAGTTTAATCGTTCCGAGTCTTATCTTCCGTTGATTTCACGAAGATTTGTTCGTTATTTCAGGATAGATTCGACCCTCTCCGTACGCGTGTTAAAAACGTTATTCGCTTCGAAGATATTTAAACACGCATTACTCTCGCACACATATTTTTCTCACGCGTTCGTTCTTTCGTTCGTTCGTTCGTTCGTTCGTTCGTTCGGCATTTACTTTCATACACTCGCACTTATTTTCCACGCTCTCTTGTATTTTTCGAATAAATACCTAGAATTAGCGTAACGATAAGAAGGACAACCAATACGACTACCATTTATAGTAGTGATAATAGTGGGCGTACTATAATAGTATCTAGTAGCAGCGTTTCTCCACGTTCTTCTTCTTCTTCATTATATTTTTCAGCATTTTTTCTTCATCTTTTTCTTCTTTCTTTCTTTCTTATTCATCTTCTTCTCTTTCTTTCTCGTTGTTGTCGTCTTGTTCGACTATCATGACATTAATACGCCATCCCGTTTGTCTTTCCTTTTCATTAGTAGTTAATATGGCTTTGCCGCGAGTTTCTTATTCGGACAATAGTAATCTTCTTAGGTCCGTTCGCATATATATATATTTCTACCTTTATTTAATAGATATATATATCTTTTTCTTCAATCTCAGCATTCCGATCTCAGAGTATTTGCTCGCAACCGACGAGCAATGGTTGATCTGCGCGCGTCCCACGATCGAGGGGCTACAGCGCACGACAGTAGTAGCGCTGCGTGCCTCAGGAAATTAATTAAACGTAGGATAATCACAGAAGAAGGGGTTCGACGCATGGGATACGCTCTTCGTTGGCAGTGTCGTCGCTTCACCGCAACAATTGCGGAACGAAAACACTTATCAGAAGGCTGGAGACCATCAGAAACAGGACCTGCTCTAAACCGTACGACGTCGCACCGTTGTACGTTAATTCTTCGTTCTTCACTACCTCGTTAGGATGATCGGAGTATTCCTCTGAAAAATTTCAACAAATACAAAATCGTGAGAAACTTTTCTAACTAATCGTTAAGATGGGAATAAGAAATAAGTTCCTTAGGCTTGTCGGGTCAGACGGAAAGGAAATACGGCTCGTTAATAGCCATTCGCGTACGTCCGTTATCGCTCAAATGCAAATACCTGCGCGCCTGTTGTCTGTACGACTCGAATTATCGTAGGCGTCGATGTGAAGGACGAGAACCCCCTCCCCAACCTCCCCCTCCCAAACCTCCTTCCGCAAAGACAAAAAGAGGAACAAGAAAAAAGATTAAAGACATGTAGGAATGGCAAGACTCGACAGATGGCTTTCGAGAAATTTACGAAGTCGTCGCGCCTCTTAGTACTTTTATTGGTTTTCCATCTGGTGTAGGGGAACGCGAGACAAGAAAACGAGATGGACCGTGTCACATTTTTCAGGAAAAGTTTCACGTTTTTTTTTTGTACTAACTAAAAAAAACAAAGAAAATAAAAAAGATTCGACGATTTGGAATGAAATATAAGTAGAATACTCGAATACATAGGTATCTATCAAGTAGATATATAACATATATATACGTGTATAGAAAAGTTATATACGCACTGTTCTTTTTCTTCTGTCCAATCGAGGTCTTTGGCGGCGAGGAGACAGACGGAGGTCCATTGTGAATCGGAGGCTGTGGCTGATGCGGATGTACAGGGTACAACGCTGAAGGGGGAACGTGGGTCGGCATCACCGTAGCCGGTTGATGATGATCGCGATGATGATGAATGTTGCCTCCCGGGTAGAATCGTTCTCCACCTTTGAGGACGCTCGGTGACTGTGGTGGTGGCATCATACCACTTGCTCCTCCGCCCAAAACTGCGGTGCTCGTTGAGCTGCTGCTGGGTACGGTGCTGCTGGTCACGGGTACGGCTAAAACCGAGAGAGAAGATTTTTATTATTTTAATACTACTACTATATATATACTGTTTTATTTTTTCTTTTTTTTTTATAGATCTAATTAATATTTTTGTTCAACATAGGTATATATGTTTGATACAATAATTACTAGATAGAAGAAGAGATGAGATGATAGGGTTATATAGAAAATAAGGTAATAGAGATTAGGTTGAAAAGAGTATGCACATGGAGAAGTAGAATCTCGAGTCTCTCGTAGATGAGTTTGAACGAGTTTATCGCTCCGAGAGATAGCCAGATAGCTCATTACGTTGTACGAATCATTCTCGGCGTGCACTCGCCAGCTCGTTCGAGAGAAGGATGCTCGGAACGAATTAGGTGGAGACGAGTGCTCGCTCGGTGGAATGAAATGGTGGAATTTATCGTGCTCTGGGACAGTGGTCTAACCGCAACAAATGGTGCGCGCTAAGAATTATAATTGATAGGGATTATTTAAGAGCCGGAGAAAGGCCGCTTGAGAAGCAAAGAGTAGGGCGGGGGGGGGGAAGGAGGAGGAGGAAATAGTAGGATGGTGGATGAGGGATAGAGGGAAGGGAAGGGAAGATATGAAAGAATGAGACTACCAAGGAAGACACGAACGAGTAGTGGCGAGTGGACTGCCTGTTATGGAAGTCGTTCCTCTTCTAACTGATTAAGGGATAATGAATTTATGGCGCGGTCCTTCCTTTCTCTTTTTTTTTTTTTTCTTTCTTCATTCTTCTTCTTTGGCTCGACAAGGGATATGCGTGAACGAACGATGCGAGTGTAACGCGTCGAGTGCGAAAAACATTTTGAGTATGAAATTGAATGCTACCGATTTTTTATATATATATATAAAAGGAAATATCTGCAATTCGTATCAGGTTTATAATTTAGTAATTGAGGAATTAAGAAAAAAAAAGAAAAAAAACGTAGGTACGGAAAGAAAATGTTATAATAGATAAAGTAAATAGGATATTTGTTTTTTTTTTTCTTTTTCTTCTTAGGATTATATTATACTCACAATTGTTGCGAGACGTGGCAGACGAGGAGGAGGTGTCGTTGCTGCAGCAAACCTTGAAAACAACCTTCATGTTGTCGGTGTTGCATCGTCCACCGATGCGCCTATGCAGATCTTCCTTGGACGAGGTGCTGATGAAGTAGTAATCGTGGCCGGGTAGAAACTCGAGACCCCCCGGTTGTGGCGTGAACGGCCTGAAGGTGATCGTGTAGTACTTATCCTCGTATGGTTTGTCGCAAATTGCTATTAACCGAGGACTCGGGTTCGTTATTCGGCACGTCTCGTACTCTTCTTTAGACACCTGCAACGACGAGAGAAAAAAGAAAAAAAAAGATTAACGGTCACGCCCACATCGTCGACCTGAAAATTCTCGTTTTCGTTACGATCGGTCATACACAGACTACGTGGAAAAAGCAACCCTCTTTTTCTTCTTCTTCTTCTTCTTATTATTATTATTTTTATTTTTATTTTTATTTTTATTTTCTTTCTCTTTCTCTCTTTATATATACTTCTCTTTGCTCAAGCAGGACATTAATCGTTGATTGACTACTGTGAAAGAAGTTTCATCGACCGGTGGGGGGGAAGCGTGTATCAGGGGCGAACGGGGTACGAATGGAATTTCGTCCGTCCTTCGAACCCTTTCGCCTTCGGGCCTTTTTGCAACGTCTTTTTCGTGATAGAAAGTAAAAAAAAGAAAAGAAAAGAAATAAGAAAAGAAAAGGAAAAGATAAAAGATTAAGAGGGAAAAGATCTATTGTGTCGATCCTAATCGTTGTATAGAGAGAACGGCTATCGAGACAATAGAAAGTGGACTCTAAGAGGGAGCTCACGATCTGCGATTAGATCGGTCCGATGAGTTCGTGAAAATACGTGAACGATGCAGAAACGTCTACGGTATCTGGACGACTACGACGACTGAATCTTTGATAAGTTTTCTAAAGGGGTGGAAGAAAGAAAGGGGGGAATTCGTCGCGACGTCTTCGTTGTCGCGAAAGCTATACTGCCTTTTGCTGACTGGCATGCCGATTACTGAACGACTCGAGACAATGTAAATGTCCGAAAGAGGAACTCTTTAAGCTTTGCACGGATCGTTAACGGCAACATCTTCGTTTCTTTACCATTGGAAGTTCGCGCACGAAGTCACTTTTGGTTAGAGGGGGCAAGGGAAAGGAAAAAAGAGAGAGAGAGAAAGAAAAGCGGGTAGTCAAAGAACTGGTCTTGAGTAGTAGCAGCTGTCTAAACATTACAGAAACCAGACTCAACTATTTTTTCGTCGTAAGCCTTGTCCATCATCGGTACACCCCATGGGTGCTCCCTCCTTCCTCCCACTCTTTTCTTTCTTTTTATCACGGTTTAAGTAAATTCTTTAAACAAATCTTTAATAAACGATCTGCTTGTAAATCTCTTAATCTGTTTAATGTTAAATGTTTTTATATTGGGAAAATAATAATATACTTACGTTGTAAATGAGGTATTTTTCCGTATCATATGTGCCCGTTTTATACATTGGACAAATTATGTTCACTTGATCGTACTCGAACACCGCGTTATTCTTGTTAACGTCTATTATATGATCCGTGTTGTCTATTCGAAATCTGTAACAGAGAAAACGAATGGAATTATTAAAAACATATTATTAAATGTAGAGAGAAAAATGTGATTAATTGAAATGTGAAAAATTGGCGAATTATTGGCATATTTCGGAAAAGGGTTCCCGTTAGAGTTTAAGATAGTGTGGCTGGCTTCTGTAGGTAGTCGAGGAGTAGAATGAAGGGAGAGGGAAAGAAAAAAAAAGAAAAAAGGAAAGAAGTCGACTCGATCTCGTAGGCACCTAACGTCTGATAGGCAGGCGCCTATAGTGTTGGAACCATCGCGTAAGCGCAAGTAGGAACTTCTACTCGCACACGCGTCTTCACGATTACGCACGTACGAGCACGAGGGGAGTCTATTATACTGGGTGTTTCTACCATCCGGTTCGACGTCCTCCTCTTCTTTTTCTTTTCTTCTCCTACTGGTGTATTTATTTTTGGAGTAAGGCCATTTCACTGCCGTTTACTTCGAAGAACTACCTACTTATGTTTTAATTTTCTTTTTTTTTTATATCGCATCGATGAATTATCACACGAACGAGATATTCTCGAAGAATTTCATATTTCTGAAGTAGAGATATAAGAGATATTATTCTTGTATGTTGTTATTCCTATGTAATTTAATTTGATTGAATAATCACACGAAAACGAAAAAGAAAATCATTTTCTTTCGTCTTTTATGTGAAATTTTACATTTTTTTTTTTTTTACTTATGTTGTTAGTTAGATACAACGTGGATTTTAAAGAAGCTTCAATGGCATTATGTATTTGTGTTAAGAAAATCTTTGTTGGGTATTTTTTTTTTGAATCGAAGAATACAACACAAAGGTGGAAGACGGTCGTCGGACACTTTGTATATGGGAGCTAGTCCGAGCTTCGGTGAGGATGGAACGAAAAGGTCGGTGGATGAGTAAAAGGAGAGGAGAGAAGTGAAGAGAAGAGAAGTGAAGAGAAGAGAAGAGAAGAGAAGAGAAGAGAAGAGAAGAGAAGTGAAGAGAAGAGAAGAGAGGAGAAAAGAGGAGAAGAGGAGAAGGTGGAAGACGGTTCCTATACAACCGGTTCTTTCCAACGGCGCTCGCGCACGTTAACGCTCGTTTCTTCGTGTGGCCATACGATATACACGAGTCTGTACAGTAACGTCCTCTGCGCCCTTTGCGCCGCCCTATTTCTTCTCCCTACGTATCGAGAAAATTTCTTTAGATTTTCTCGAAACTTTCAATGTGTTTTCCATTTTTTCCTTTTTCGTTTAAAAATACATAGATATATATATATATATATATATATATGTATATGCAAACACATTGAAACAATCGAAAGCAATTGTATTTTTAGCCTAAGAAAAATCTAAAAAAGAATCTTTCGATCGAATTATTTGAACTCTTGAGCAAATAAGAATTTACGAGACTGTGGGAAAAGTCGATCGGTGGGTTCGATCGATCGAAGGGTTCGACGTACCATTAATGAAGAACGTAGGTACTTACATAGGTACACATATACATATATATATAAGTACGTATGTATAGACGACGACATATACGGTCGTTGGTGCAACAAGATGCGGCAGCGAAACGCGGGCGTCGAATATGCGCGTCTGGACGTTTCGGAGCATTAACGGACAATCTCGTAAGTGGGCGTGTAAGGGCTTGAAAATTGGAAGGTAGGCCGGGCCTCGGCGAAATTAACGTTTGGCGATAATATCCGTTCTCTCTCCTGCTGCCCCCATGTCGATACTATACGTCGACCCTAAACGCAGCTCGGCAAACGACGACCTCGACGAATCGCGTGTACGAGAAAAAGAAAGAAAGAGAGAGAGAGAGAGAGAGAGAGAGAACATTCGCCGTTAACGCTTTACCAATGTGCGAGCGTGCGTGGGCGTGCACTCGCAACCTGGCCATTCACCAATTTCTCCAACGACGCGAACGGCGAGACTTTGATCGTTTTTCTCCCCACGGCTTTCCGGATTCCAAGCACGAACGTATTCGTTTATCTTCGTATATTTTTTTACGGCGTTTATCATTTCCCATGGCAAAGCAAAGGCGGACTCTTTTCGGTATTATCTCGGCGTGCTCGTTAAGTTGATGCATTTTGCTTCGGTAGTCTCGATGTGTGATTTAAAAGAAAAAGAGAAAGGGAGAAAGGCTTCTTATTCTTCTTATTCTTTTTCTTCTTCTTCTTCTTCTTCTTCTTCTTCTACTCTAAGCGAGAACGGTGTCATTTGCATATACCTATGTATTCGTAGGATCCTCGAGGACCCTTGTATTAATGCAATACGTTGCCTTCGTTCTTAACAGTTCTTTTCTGGCCTTAGGTAAATACTCGGCATGAATATGTATGGAGCCTCCTAGTGACCCCTTCTTAAACTCTAACGCGCGTGCAGGGATACGTTCTCAACTTCCCAGACTGTAGACAAGTTTCTATGGATCTCAGTGGATCCGGCTAGAACGTTATAATAATAGTTCAGCGTAAGGTGGTTTTATGGCTATCGACCCGCCTCTTTTATTATAGTACTTAATATTTAAAAACCTCTTTGTATCGAATCCGCTGTTTTCCTTTCTTCCTCTTCCTCTTCTTCTTCTTCTTCTTCTTTCTTCTATCTACGAATAGAAGTTAAATCCATACCGTTTGACATTAAATTACGAATGTCTCTTCGCGACAAAAATAATATTACTAAAGTAAAGATTTGCTTTTTTTTTCTTTTTTTCTTTTTTCTTTTTTCTCTATAAAAGATCGAGAGCAAGTAAAGGAAAAAGGGCAGCGGCCGGTTGTAATTTGTACGCGACACTTCCTTCGAATCCGCTATCTAGGAACCAATAAATATACAGCTTGATCCCCACTACCGATCGCCATCACCCACCGCTGTCCCCTGGATACCAATTAACTACCGAATAAAACCTACGGAAGGGTCGGCCTAATTGGAATCTCGAAAAAGTGGGCGTGCACCGATCGGCGGATCCCATCGTCGCGAGTCCAACAAGAATTCCTATCCGTCGAGTATCGCGTCGAGAGAGTAATATTATCCTCTCTCTCTCTCTCTCTCTCTCTCTCTCTCCTTCTTCTCTCTCTTTTGCTCTTTCCTCGTTGTCTACCTCGTCATCGTCGATTTTCGATCTCGAGTTTGACTTCGCCAACGACAATGAGCGCCGATTAAAAAGAAGCGCGCAAATGTTATTAGATAGAGAAAATTCGATTTAAACGAAGAGCGGACGGACAAACGATTTAGCGCTCTCCATGTTCGCATACCGGCCCTTTAATCATCGATCCTCCTTTCAACCTTCCTTTCGTTAAATTAAACGAGCTCGGAGTAACGAAAGGCGAGTGCTGCTGGCTCCTCTTTACTACTCTCTCTCTCTTTCTTTCTCTCTCACTCACTTTTAGTCTCTTTTTCTCTCTCGTTCGTTCACTCTTTCTCTCTGTCATGACGAGTTGCCACGTTTTCACGTATGATGTCCGAGAAAGAGAAGAAGTATACCGTCTGCCTACGGAGGAAAAGAAAGAAAGAAAGAGAGAAAGAAAGAATGGAAAGAAAGAGAAACGGGACAAACGTAGAAAGACGAAAGTGCGAAGCTACGATGAGACGAATCGGGGGGTGTGGTACGGGGAAAGCAGCAGACGCTTATGCGTTAAGTGGGATTTTCTGGCAGGAATATCAAAGACGAGACTGCGTCAAAGAGATTGCTCGCGAGAGTAAAAAAAAAGGGTATGTCCAGAAAGAGGAGGAAGATGATGAAGAAGAAGAAGAAGAAGAAGAAAGAGTGAAGAACGGAAAAGAAAGGGTAGGAAAAAAAAGGGACATCGAAGGAGAAGAGACATTTTTGGACGAAAACACGAGGACCAATTTTTGACTTTATCTTCATCTCTCTTTTTCTCTCAAATTCATATCACTCATTCCTGAAGAAACTATTGTGTATGTCGTACTGAAAATCTTTTTTTTATGAATGTTGTATTTGTTTTTTTTTTTTTTTTTTAACTCTTTGTTATCAACGTAAATGAGAATTGTTCGTTTTCCGCGTGGAACTCTTTTATTGTTCGTGAAATTTTTCCTTTTTTTTTTTTTTTTTTTTTTTAATCGAATAATCGCATAGTAAAATTGTATCCTTTCGAGAAACAGGTATATTATATGAATATTTCTAACGACCTTGCCGTGTACGACCGTGAAAAAATCATAAATGTTTTCCTCTTTCTCTTGAGAGAGAGAGAGAGAGAAAGAAATATAGATAGATAAAGACGGGGAAAGAAATGTTCGACGAGGAAGAGGATTACAATGGCGTACGCGCGTGCGTTGATTATACATGCGCATATAATTATTACATGATCGTATCGTCGGAAAACGTGCTTGGACGGAAGGAAGAGAAATGGGAATACGAACGACGCGTTTAGACAACAAATTACGGTAATATCAATAGCTGTATAGATTGGACAAATGATTAATACATGTAATATAATGGCAACGAGAATATGTATTTATCCAATAATTTATGTTTTCCATGTTTACCTATTATCTATGAAACATAACAAATTGTTAGCTATTTGTGTTTGTTTCGATCTTTACTGTTAAAAATTAAAAAAAAAGAAAACAAAAGGAATAAAAATTCAAAGTGAAAAGCGAATAAGGAGGGAACGAAATCAACGAAGCGTACTTTCTCGGAAGGTGTTACATATTGGTTCCTCGCACCTGTCTCTCCCTTCGAGAGATGTCGGACGTCGACGTCGCGATTGGTTCCCTCGAGTGGTCTTATTCTTGTACAGAACACCGGTCCTTTTGTTGGGTACGTTAAGAAACGCGACCGAGAAAAAGAAAAATGAAAATAGTCAGAGAAAGAGAGAGAGAGAGAGAGAGAGAGAAAAAGAAAAAAAAATGAGAAGAAAGGGAGAGAAAGATAGGAGGAGTGCGAAAAGAAGACGTATGGAAACGCTCGAGGATCATTTCGTTGGCGTGTCTTTTTTAAAACCCCAACGTCTCCAAAGTCATCAGGAACGTTATTATTCGTTAACTTTGAAATATTTAT